CCGTGGCAGCTTGGGCTTGGATGAACCGCGGATGTTAAATATGCCTGTGCTTCACCCTGGTAAATTCCATTAGGAATAGCATCGATAAAATAGGCACGCCGGAAATATAACCGCCGTGTGCCGCTTTTAGTGACATTTTGTCCGTTTTTTTAGGGAAGAAGGGTGCAAAAAAAAGATTTTGCTACCGATCTAAGTGGTACATGCACTTATAGACTGTGGTATAAAAGGACATCCACAAACAACTTTTTATATCAGTTCTCCAAGATGTCCCTGTAAAAATAGGAGTGAATTAAAACTTCTTCCACAGCATTCTGAAATTCATGCTTCAGCGTGAGAATAGGGCTGTATTTACTGAAAGCTGCGGTTATTTCACAAGCTGCGGGGAAGCGTTAGAGGAGGGAAGCGGCGGGCAGGATTGTGCCGTGTCTGCTCAGGCCGTTCCCGCTGCCGTTATCAGCCCGGTCCGGCGCCGGCCGCTCCTCCCGCGGCCGTGTTTTGTCTGCATATTCCTTAGGCGACTCCAGGCAAAACGGGTGGGATGAGACAGTTTTACCGAGTGCTGGGAGCAGATCTGGCTCGTGACCGACAGCAGACGTCGGTCAAGCCCTGTCACAAATGGCGCCCGTGGCCGAGCCTTGCCCCACGGTACAGCTCCGCGCTGGAGCCCCGCCGCGAGCCCCGTCCTCGGGGCGGTCCGGCTGTTGTCCCAGGGTTGGCTGTGGTCAGGCTGACGGGACGAGGCGGGGGCCCCGCGTGCCCCCTCGGTGCGCGGAGGCACCTGCAGCCGCCCGGGCGCTGCCGCGACGGGTTCGGGAACGTCGCCGAGCCGCGTCCGACGCGGGCCTGGGCAGAAAGGAGCCGCAGAACAGCCGGAAAAGAAGGGGTTGGGTTGGGTTGGGGTTTGGCCTAACCTGAAGAAAACCAGAAACCTGTGGGAGAATAACAAGTTCCAACAGATTTGATGAAATGTGTAAATAGTTAGAACACAAATAAAAGGCAAAATACTTTTCTAAAAGAATCGAGAAGGAAGGTTTTAGCGTGTCTGAAGCAAAAAAAAAAAAAAAAAAAAAAGAAATTTCTGGTTTCTTTTTTTTTTTTTACCAGCCGATGATACTAAGCAGATTTGACCTGAATGCCCGAGTATTTTTGGTTCCCTTAGAAACATCATTTTCCAGCCCATTTATTATTTTTCTCTCCATTCCCTAGCTCTATTTCAAAAGGAAAACTGTAAGAAAATATTTTAAGAGAAGGCAATTTCTCTTCAAGTTGATAATTATTAACTTTACACTTCCCCTGCAGTTTGTTTAGTAACTCCTGAAGAGGCAGTTGTTTTGATGTTATGCTCAGCTGCATGTATTGCAGAGTCCCTTTATTTTTACAAAGGATTTTGTAGGCTGTTGGGTTAGATTGATCTCCCTAAAGGTTTCATCCATGATGGAGCTAAGTTTGTCCACATGGACAAACACAGGAGCAGGATCCGGGTAGCACAGAACTGGCTGCTGGGCTGGAATTGGAGCGGAGGGAGCACCACGAAAATGTTCTGTCCGTGTTAATTTGCACTTACAAGTGAATTTGCTTTGGTTGTGCACTTGATCCCTTTATATTCCCTTTCTATTGCCCTCCTTGTGTTCAAGGTTCTCCGCTATGGGCTGTGCTGTTAAGGTCAAGCGCTCGCAGCTTTGCTTAGACTTCAGCATCCACCCGAGGTTATGGATTATGCCTGTGTAACCAAGGAAATAACACAGAACCGCAACAAGGCAGCTCGAGTAAAATTTTGTAATTCACATAAACCAGTTATGGAATCAATGACATTTGCCAAAAGTTCGAGGTAACAGTATCAGGATCTCTTTCCGTGAGTGTGAGGTGCTGTTCATGACTATTCATCCCCAGGCAAGAGCAGGGGGAGTAAAATGTCTGTGTGTTCTGTTGTCGGCCGCCCGAGGGTGTTGTCAGTATTGGAGGCCAGTGAGTCACAGTTATGATGCCCCAGACAAGCTGTTGAGATGACATTGCTCGTGAAAGGAGTAACGACCCGCACGTCTGGCTTGTGCTCCCCTTGCACTGCGGGTGTGTTGTCCGTGCGTGGTCTCGCGCTGAACATATCTGCCCTTACCAGGTTTGCCCGTCTGCCCGGAGCTGACCCGAGAGCACATCCCAAAAACCCGGGACGTGGGACACTTCCTGTCCGTCACCGGGACCGTGATCCGGACGAGCCTGGTGAAGGTGCTGGAGTTTGAGCGGAGCTACATCTGCAACAAGTGCAAGCACGTGTTCGCGGTGCGCGCCGACTTCGAGCAGTACTACGCCGTGTGCCGCCCCACGGCCTGCCGCAACGAGCAGGGCTGCGGCTCCACCGCCTTCACCTGCCTCTCGGGCACCGCCTCGGCGCCCGCCAGCTGCAGAGACTACCAGGAAATCAAAATTCAGGAGCAGGTGAAAAGGACGTGCGGGGGAAGCGCGGGGCGTCAGGGCATCAATGTCTGGAGCACAACGAGAAAAAAATATCTAAAGGAGGCATTTGGGGGCTTATGCTGTTTTAACTCAACTAATTTTAATGATATTGCTCATACTTAGGTCAGGATTAAGATTATTGCCTTTTTGTTTGTTTTTACATACTAAGATAAGCTGTAAAGTCCTATAGATTCTGCTGTTATTTAAAAAAAAAAAAAAAAAAAGCCTGAGTAGACCAAAAGATGCCAGAGAATTGACTACCCCAGCAGTTGGAGAATTAAAGAGTTAGGAATGCGCTGATTAGAGTCAGTGCATAGATTAAATTCTCATGTTCAGCCCTTATAATACCAAGTGTGTTGCTTGTCCGAGCGCTTATGGTACTTGATGCTGGTGCTCAACACGGCTTCCTGTGGTGCCAGGGGCAGCTGGAGTAAGAAACAGTTGATTACTTGCATGTTCAGTGTCTTAAATGTCTTCAGTTGATTGAAGGATTTGATTTTATAAATTAGGAGGTCCCAGTCTGCATCTTAACACTATGAAACCAGAAATATATAAAATTAGAGAGGAAGCATTTGAAAATTCAGAATAGCAAAAATATGAAGGAATAAAGATACTTCTAGGAGTTAGGTCCTGTGTTGCACATTCAGTTTATGATCATTTCTGACATATGGTTTATGCGAGGATATTTTTTTCCCCACTGTGTGACACAAAAATCTTTATGGTGGGACGGATTTTCAGCAGCGTGGGCCTGCTGCACACGTGAGCAAAGTGAACTTCACCTGTATTTCCCACTTAGTGCTGCCAGTAACTGCGTATGTGACACTAGTAGTGACAGCGATGCAGACCGCCTGCAGCCGCGCAGAGGATGCACAAGGGTAAAGCAGGGAGTGAATGAACCTAGAGTTCTAGAGTTCTAGTTCTGGTTGTTCTTTGTGCTGCGTATGTTTTAGCACTTGCAAGCTCTTTTGTACAACAAAAAGATTTCTAGATGGAAACAGACCGTGACAAACTTGCATAGGTTTTTCCCTGGTGAAAAGAAAAAGAATTGCAACAGTAACGGGCCCACTTGTCATTATGCCTAATATACACTCCTCCTGTTGGGTGTCATGTGTTTTCTTCCGCTGTTGATTTAATCCTTGACACTTAGGTGCAAGCTTGTTTCCCAACCTGTCAAATTGTGGTTAAATACCAGAATAACGTATAGAATAATTCAGTGGAGAGTTATCTAACCCCTGGGTATGCTTCAGTACCCAGAGTCAGCTTTGCTTACTGAAGAAGTGTCTGAAGACTGTCTCAAATCATAGCAAAAAAGGTCAACTTTTTCAGATGACCTCTTTCAGGGAGCTGTCTCCTGCAGGATACTGAAATCACACAGCACCCCCAGCTAATTCACTGCCCGGTTCTGCTTCCATAAGTTCCCTTACGAAGTTCGTGGTGGCAGTGACATGTTTATTGGTATGTGACACACAAAAGTTCTGTGAGGAAGAAGCAAGGATTGATCCTAGTTCCAGGCAAGGAGCACGGGTCCTTCAGAAAGAGCAGCTTTGAGAAGGTGCTGTTCTCACGTGCGTTTCCTTTCCCCCCGCTAGGTGCAGAGGCTCTCTGTGGGAAGCATCCCCCGCTGCATGGTGGTGGTTCTAGAAGATGACCTCGTGGACAGCTGCAAGTCTGGTGAGCACGCACCATATCACATGTGTTGGTACCACAGACGCTTTTGGTTTTCCACCCGAGGTGACTCTTTGCCCAGCAGGGTGTCAGCGCTGCGGCCTGACGAGGCGCGTTCATCCGCCACGCTGGTGTCCCGGCTGGAAGTTAACGTGGCAGTTGAGGAGTGTGGTAGAAAATACCAAAGGCTCCCAAGGGTGTCACACCTTGGGTGTTGGCTGGGTCCGTTTCAGGACGTGCCGTGCTGCGGTGCGCGGAGCACGCGCCAAGGCTCACTAGCCTCAGAGTGCCAAGTCTGCTGAGGAAACCGGCCCACCTGGAAGGGGCTGAAGCGGAGAGCGTGATGCCCCCCTGTAGTCTCAGAAAGCCATGCAGCCCAACCTCCTGCTTAAGGAACGCTGCAGGGGGGCGAAGGTACCTGGCTTTCGAGAAGGAAGCCAATTGGTGGGAGGATGTGTGAAGAATGAGCTGAAAATTTGCAGAATGTAGTCGTTAAAATCTAAGCTTCTGGTACCATCCCCACAGGGAGCTTGGTGTTGGTGGCTGACTGTGCTCTCAGAGCAGTGCTGTGGCCTGCATGTTCACCACTAGTACTGGAATTGGTCACTGGAGTTTTCAGCAGCCCTACTGTCTCAGTTTTGGCTAGATTTGAGGGTGGTAGATTTAGTAGAAAGAAGAGTTTCTACAGTTTAGTGAGATTTTTCCCTTTCCTCTATGCTTGTTTCTTCACTAAACTCATAAAGCTCTTCTCTCTATTAGATTTACTAACCCTGTGCCAAGTTAGTCAAAACCAAGAATTCACCTACCGTGATCAGAATGGAAAGACAGAGTAACCTTCTACCCCAGGCATAAGGGCATGAGCAATCCCCATCGTGCCTGGGTTAGACTTCCAGTGACTGGAGGAAGCTGCTGCTTGGGGGTTTTGGTTTCTCACCTCAGTAACTATAGCACAGGATCTGAGCTGCCCTGCAGCTGCCTGACACAGGGCATGCCCTTGGGAACTAGTATTTGATGAGTTTTTGCTGCTGCCCCCAGGAGATGACATCACGGTGTACGGAATAGTGATGCAGAGGTGGAAGCCCTTCCACCAGGACGCGCGCTGCGACGTGGAGCTCGTGCTGAAAGCCAACTACGTGCAAGTGAACAACGAGCAGCTCGCGGGGGTCACCATCGATGACCAAGTCCGCAAGGAATTCACAGACTTCTGGGAAAAGCACAGGGATGATCCCTTAGCAGGTGAGTAAGTGAAAATTTTAAGGTAGGACTCGTGTTCAGACGTATATGAAGTCAGGAGTGAAAATACTGAAGCTGACCACATTTTTTTTCCCCCATTATCCTATTAATATATTTTTCCCAGTACAGAAGCATGAAATTCTTACTTAAAAGTTACTGAAGGCACAGTACCAAATGTGCTGTCTTGGTCTTTCTTCTTTTAGCTTTCCATTCAAATGTTCTGTGGAACATTTATTAATAAGAAATGAGAAATAAGGCAGGTATCAGGGAAAAAATAGAAGGGTGTTTTATAATCAAGAAATAAAAATAAAAAACCCTACTTTTATTGACTATGAAATTAAGCATTAGACTCTCTGCATTTTCATGCAAAATCAAGCTCAGAATCTTTGTCATTGAGCTTAGCACATCCCATCTTTTAGCTAATGCTTGGATGCTTTAGGGGAGCTCATAGCACATTTAGGAAGAGGCTACCAATTTGCAGGAGCTTCCAGAGTGTTTAGCAGAGCAGGATGGCTCCTCAACTGCTCCTGCTCTGCAGCAAAGCAGCTCAGAGCTGCCCGGGGCTGGATCAGGACCTCTGGTCCTCTGCACATGTGATGCCTCTCCCTGAAGTGCAGGAAAGCTCGGTGGGCTGGTTAGGACCTACATAATGGAACTGTTTCATCCCAATACTCTTTGTCTTTTCAAAACTCTGAAACAAGTTTAATCTTCTTAAAATACCAACAGGGAGGAAAAGCAGGGAGCAAAACTGCCCACACTAGCACAAAAGTTAAGAGCACTGATATAATAAGTTGGCAGTCTTCAAAAGCAAAGGAATTCTTCAGAACTGCATGTTCCAGAAAGCAGTTTAAGGGCTAGCCTGCTGCTCTTTGGATAGAGGATATTTCCCACCTGCTAGAACAGTTCAGAAAGAAATTCGGGATCCATTGTGAAGGTCCCAATTAATCCTTTGTACTTGGGACGACTTACTTTGGAAAGCCTGGCGTGAGCAGTGTGGCTTGGTGCAGTGTTTCTCATTCAGAACAAACAAGCAGCTGTGAGGGAGCTGCAGGAGAACTGGGGCTGGAGCTGGAAGGATCCTGGCTACCCAGCTTGTCCCTTCCACACCGTTTCTCTGAATTACAACCCCTCTGCTGAGGGCAAAGATAAAACTTGATTGATGAGCCTAAGGTGTCCCTGTGTCACACCAAGATCTCCCAAAGACAGAGCTTAGTCACTGCACAAGAGACACCTGCCTCAAGGCATCCGCTAGGTCTCTACGTATTTTACCACATCTATCTTATGGTTTTCAGGGACTTGCATTTAAATTTAAAATGTTATGCTAAGAACTCAAAATAGGCTCCTCTGGTCTATGGCCTAGCAGTGAAGGCAGTTTATGGTATTAAAACTGTGGTCCCTTATGTGCTGTTAGTATCAGAATTTCAAAGGACAGATGTAATTGTTACACACCTCCCAAGCCAGCAAAATTGTCGCAGCAGACTGAAACATTTTGTTGCTGGGAAGAGAATATGAGAGGGAGGAGGAGATGGAGGGTACAGATGGGTCAAAGGAGAAGGAGATTCAGGACAGTAAAGAGGAAATGAGCTACACCATGTCTGCACGGAAATGTGGTGCACAGATTTAGGCCAGAATACTTTGCTTTAGATGTGACTTAGTTTTCTTAACTGTGCAGCACGCCACTTGTCGAGGGGGTGTTTCAAAGGAATACGTGTGAGCGCACAGCTCGGCCAATCCAGCACGGCTGCTGCCTGGCACCAAGTTCTGCTTTCCGGGCAACGCTGAGCGTCGTTTCCTTCTGTTCCCGTTCCAGGGCGGAATGAGATTCTGGGCAGCCTGTGCCCGCAGGTGTTCGGCCTGTACCTGGTGAAGCTGGCGGTGGCGCTGGCGGGTGCCGTGGCACAGGGATAACCATCCCGCTCGCCCCAGGAGAGCGGTTTTTCACCAAAGCTGACTCTTCCTCCAGATCTCAGGCAAATAAAGTACACGTCTGACTTCCTCTCTTTTATTAATTTTTCCCAAATAAAATCCGTTGAGAGCGTGTTTTCAGGATTCAGTTATGTAGAGTATGAAAGGCAATTGCTTGAGATAAAACATAAGCTCACTTTTTTGTGGTAGAAGGGACGTCTTGAAATGACATCTAGTAGAATATTCCCAGCAGTATTTAGCATCAAAGGATGGAATATTAATGTTTCTTTAATATGGATCACTGTAGTACACTGAAGGAAGAATGAAAGGATTCATTTTACTTCCTAGTGCCAGATTTTTCCATTTTCCATCTGTGATTGTCAGCACATCTCACTTCAATCTGTTTCTGCAAGGTTTCTGCCTGCTGATTCTCCTCCTGTTGTTATTAGATGGCAGATATGCTGTGTGCCAGGTGGGACGCAGGTCACAGTCTATGTAGGTCATAATAATTCTAAAATACTATTTGTGTATATATACATACGATAGTTTCTTGATGCTCCAGCAGCTGAAGAAAGTTAGAGACGTTGTATTTAAATTTTTAGATTTATCGCCTTTATGGCACCCAGTAAGTAATACAGTCTTGAAGAAAATTATTTTTCGTATCCTATAGGTAGAGCTGAGGTAGTGCTTAGATAAAGAATGAAAAATATTACTTAAACCAAAGCATTTTGTGTGCATCTTTCTCTGTGTGTGTGTGCCACATCCTCCTACATGAACCTTTTTCCCCCAGGGGAATCTCACCTTTTGCTGGTCGGAGACCCGGGCACGGGGAAATCCCAGTTCCTCAAGTACGCGGTGAAGATCACCCCCCGCTCCGTGCTCACCGCAGGAATCGGATCTACCAGTGCAGGTACGTGCTGCCCGAGGGGAACACTCTGCTTTTCGCACCAGCGTGCGGAGCACGAGCGCGGACCAGGAACGTGGGGCCTGTGGGGGCTGCGTGGGGAAGGGCCGCGGAGCCGCGGCACGAGCCGGCGTCCAGGGGCGCCTCTCGCCGCTCTCAGGGCTGAGTGTCATCTCCACCTGTATTTTTAGTGTTTGGAAGCCAGTTTGGTTTCTGCTCACTCTCTGAAAACACTGGGTGCCGAGGATTTGTAGGGATGGCTCTGGAGAGCAGAGGCGATTTGATTCTGTTTCTTTGTTTTTGTTTTGTTTTGTTATTTTCATTTTTAACTTTAGATATGTCCCAGGTGGCTGAAAATACCAGGAATCTTTATAAATTCTTTCTGGGGACAGTATGTAGAGGCTTAGATCACCTCCATAAATTATTCCATTTGAGCATATGACTGTTACATTAAACATCTTGAAATAATTAGGGGGGAAAAAAAAAGGTCTCAGCACATCTAACTTGAGTGAGTTTTTTTTTCTGGGAAGCAGCACTGTTTATGCCTAGGAAAAGCAGAAAATAAATCTTCCCCTCTTCTAGGTATGCGTACGTGTGTGGACTCGGTTTTCATAGCTGTGCAAGTGCAACGACTTATTTAAGTGATGTTGAAACATGATGTTGAACTTACTTACATGCTTGCATGCAGGAAATTTGTTATGAAAGACAAGTGCCTCTAGTTTTCCAGTCAAGTTGTTGACAAATATTTCTGGAAAGAAGCCAGAGAGAACGTTTTAGCTCAGTATAACCTTTTCTCTACCCTTTGTTCTGTGTTAAACCGAGGACATGCTGGATAATGCCAGTTTTTGCCAGGGGACTGGCAGTGCCCTGCAGTGATGTTTTGCCGTGTGTTTCAGTGTGACCTTGCCCCCTTTTGTCGGTCGTTACCACCCTGCACCCGCTGCTCCTGGTGATGTTGGTGGTGTTGCCTTCCTCACCACATGTCCCACTCTGCTTTATTTGCCCCGTGCTCTGCGTTCCAGCTCCGCCGTGGCAGCTGCGTTCAAAGACATTCCTGTGCCAGTCGGTACCGCAGGGCACGAGGCTGCTGCGGGGTGTGCGCCATAGACACAGCTCTCCTGGTGCCTGGAGATGGAGTCTGCTTTGTGAAAGGCTCCTCTGGAGTCTTTAGATCCACTTAAATAATCTTCCCCCCTCTCTTTTCTCAGAATTTACAGTATGTGCCCCAAGCTTCCACCTTGAAATTCTCAAGGACCTTCATCTTAAATGAAACTTGGATCCTAGCTGGAAATCTAATTAACGCTAGTTTAACTTCAGGGACCCTTTCCATGGTTAGAATTGCTGGACTGGGGCTTTCATCTCTAGCCCTGGCGTTTGGATCCTTCTCCTTGTCATCCTGTAAGAGAAGTATCCTGCCTCTCAGTATGTTTGTACCTAACACACTGATTTTATGAACTTGCTCTTCGTGCAGAAGCTCCAAATGGTGAGTTCAGAGAACTACTGGGTTGTTTTGCTTTCCTTGCTAGAATGGCATACTTGGAATTAACAGTTTCTCCCCTCCTATGAGAGGAAACTTCTTTAAACGAGCATTTTTTTTTCTATCAAAGCATCAGTGGGGTGAGGGCTGTGGGCAAAGGAGCAAGCCCGGAGGCTCCAAGGCTCCTTTCTCCTTGGGCTCCTTGGCGCTCTCACTGGCCCCTCCGGCAGAACAAAAGCGCTTGGGCCGGCCGAGCTCCTCCCAAGCGCCCCTTTCCTTGCAGGGAACTTGAGTTTCCCTCTCAACGTCCGGTGGCTTTTGGCCAGCACTCGCTCACGCAGTGACTGTCTTTGTGCCTCCCTTCAAATCCTTACCCTTGTAGGGGCAGGTGGCACTGAACAGAGAATGTGCCCTGCTCTGCTGCTGACCTAAGATGCTTCATTTGTCCTGCAAGTTCTTTTCTGAAAGCCTAGCTGTAGTAGGTCTAGTGTGTTAAAGTGTCAAAAACATTTTTACCTTCTGTCCAAATTATGTTTTCCTTCTGGACTTTTTTTCTGCAAGTTGGATAATGGGGCAGTAATCTTAGAAAATGAAAGAATGAGATGTAAAATCATTTGACAATCCAAGGAGGATTTGTAATTCTTTTAGGGGCTGTCTATTGGTAGCTCCTTATCAGATCTTACTTTGGAAATCTCCTGATTCCGTTTTTCTATTGCCCTGTGAGTATATTATGAGTGTGGTTTCCAAAAGGATAGTGAGACCTAGATTTGTGATCAGAAATGCTTGAAAGTGGCATGATTATTTCTTCCTATTTAACACCTTGTCTGAGAATGTCAAGGAGTCACTTGGATGCCTTTATTCCCTAGCAAGAATACAGAGCTTTCAGGAAGGAAAGACTTACTGGGGTTTTCCTTGGGTTCCAGCCTTACTGTTGAGTTTAAACAGCTGGTTTGCAGTGAAGTCGGGTCCCTATAGCCATAACGCTGCTCCAGCACATTGCCCCAGATCATCCCTAGTAGGAAAATCCCACATTTTCCTTGGAGCCCAATCAGCGTGGTGTGTCACCATGGCAGGACGGGGCCCAGCACAGGCTGCTCTTGGCGAGTCCAGGGCTCTCAGGAGGTCTGGCCAGTCACTCTGCCACCTCCCAATGGTATTTGTCCATTAGGAGCTCTGCAGTTTTGTTCCTTGTTGTGTCCTTCCGCACACGGGCTGCATAAAGAACCTTGTGGAAACACTGCAGGTCCAGTACACCTTGTCATGCTGGCTGGAGTAAACGCTGTGGGTCCCGTGCTGTGGGTTCAGGTGTAAGGCCCCTGAGGCAGGCCTTGCAGAGACTCTCCTTCTGCTAGGGAAACGGCTGCCATTCCAAGCAGCAGATCTTGAGAGTGATCCTAAAGGTCTTCAAGATTTCCCCTGCCTCACTGTGAAGTCTTCTGCTTCCTTCCCGTTTGCACCAGCGCAGATTTGCCACATCCTTCTAGGAGCCGAGAACAAAACAGAGGACCCTGCTGTGTTAAGAGCTAGCTCTCCTTACAATCTCATGATCCAAAGGATCTCTGGAGGGAGACTCGAGAACTACTCAAGTTCATAGCGCAGCATTTCAGTGAGTTCTTCACGTTGCTGTGTACACAACAGTGCTGGTGCCTCTTCCATCAGCTCTGGCCTGCAGCTTGAGGATCTACTTGCTCAGGTTTTCTGTCTGCAGGAGGGCCAGTCACATCACCCACACCATGGTCTTGGGTGCCCCATCCTCCCTCTGACTGCTGCAGACACCGATGTGTATCCTCCCTCCCTTCCAGGGCCTTTGCTTTCCGAGTTACAAACCTGTTCTTTGCCTGTAGCACAGGCTCCCTACTGACTCTGGCTGGTTCCTCCTCCTTAGATGTTCTTCTTTGCTGAGAAAACAAAATTCTCCTCATCTGTCTTCTGTAGCCTACTTCATGCTGCCTTAAAAAAAAAGAACTTCAGAAGGAGACATAATCACAATTTGAAAGGCCTAATCCAAGCAGTCCTCCATGGCTGCCAATGAAACTAACTTCTGTGGCTCTCAGCAAAACGACAGGACGTGGCCCGACAAGCGCAGGGCCCCTGCATTACACCCAAGTGGCAGGAGGGTTCGGGAACTACGGGGAAGGTCTCCTGTAGCTGCTCAGATAGATAGAAGCCCCAGGTAGCTTCTGCTTTTTCCTTCTCTGGCAGATGGAGATTTGCTTGCAGTGCACGTGCATGAGGGTTCTTCCCTTTCCTTCCTGCTCCCGCCTTCAGGTGACAGCGGGCAATCCTCTGCAGAGAGGGAGTTAGCGGACCAGACCATCAGGTCCCTCCTGCACTTTGAATCTCAAGGATACAAACTAGCAATGGGCTCAGAACTGGGTCACTGTGGCTTTTGTAGCCAATATCTGAGCTGCTGAAGCCTTGAAACCAGGACTAAGGTTTGGCCTTTTCAGCAGAGCTCTAAGAGCCACTGGAGAAGTTAAACTTTATGTCTCCGTTATGATAAAGCTGGTATCTGTCTTTCTGACCCCTTCAAATTGGAACAGTGTCAGACTGATTTAGATGGAAGATGATACATCAATGAATCACAGTGACTCCGAGAGGAAGAGGTGCCCCCCACTAACCTAAACATAAAAAACATGTTTTTCATCCGTGATGTTGGTGTGTCTGATCCATCTACTTCTTACTTGTCTGATGAGTATCATGACAGTCATCTAATTGAACTGAGTCTAGCTAGAGTAAAAATAGTGTAGTTCATCACTGCCTTGTTGGCAATGGAAGCCATAGCATTTCCTTTCCCTGGTGGCCTCTGCAACTAAAGGTTTGGGGGAGGATGAGCTCATCTTTGACCCGGAAACTGTAACATTACACTGTCTATACTAGTTGTCCATGTGTCACATTAAAAAAATCTGTTTTGAAGCTTTAGATACCAAAACGAACACATCTGTACAGGCATCACTTAAATCCACTATATTTTCGTGCCACTGAGTTTGTGCTGTGATATTGCCTGATGATCAAGGCTGCAGAGCAGAAATTCGGTTTCTTAAATTTGAAATCTGTCGAGTTTGATTTTGCCTGGAAATGTGACATTTGCAAAACCTGTATGGAGTGCCAAGAAGGGGCAAACTGTGGAAAACCTGAAAGGCATGCTCAGTGTGTTTCAGAAGGCCTACCCAGAAAGTTTCTCTTACAAAGACTGCGAGGCACATTTGCTCTTTTTTAGTTTTCATCAAGCACAGGGACATGACTTTCTTAGCTCCTGTAAGGGATAGCTCAGCTATACCTAGTATGTGTGCCAGGTCAGTTCCATTGCAGTGTAATGGTCCACCTGGTCCAGTTCAAAGTTTAGGGTCCCCCACGTTCACCTGTGCAAAGCTGGATTTTCTCTTTCTCTCTCAATCAGAACAATAGGTCTCTGATTTCTCTAAAGAATTTCTCTAAAGACTTCTCTCCTGTTGGCTTGCTGGGTGAAGCAGCGCTGCTGAGTATTTTGCATAGGGATGCAGTTGGTTTCCATCAAGGTGTAGCATGT